GGGGGGGGGGGGGGGAGGTTGAGGGTAATTGGGTGGGGAACAAGGGGTACAAATGCAATTTCTGGTAATGGGTATGCTGCCAGTATGAAGTTGGCCCTCACATCATGGGCATGAGGGGTGACAATTAGCTTTGTATCTCACGAATATTGATAATAAAAAAATAAATTAATTAAAAAAATATTAATCAGAAAAAAATGGCATTACAGAGAAAATCTTTAAAGCATCTAGAAGAAAAAAAGACACATTATGTACAGAGGAACTAACTGAAACGACCACACATTTCTCATCAGAAAAACAAAATGCAACTAGAAGAAAGTGGAGTTAAAATTGCTAAAGTACTAAAAGCAAAATAGATTTCAAAATGAAGTTAAAATACAGACTTTTTAATATATAAAAAAGCTGGAGAAATTAATCACCAGCAGACCTGCATTACAAGAAAAGTCAAAGAAAGTCCTTCAAAAAGTAAAATATCTACACAGGAGGATGAAGAGCACTGAATAATAATAATAGTTAAGTATAAATATAACTCCGCATATAGCGTTTTCTCTTATTTAAATGTATTTAAAAGACAACTGCTTAAGGCAATAATAATAATAGCAATTATGGTGGGATCAACAATGTATGACAAGAAGAGTGCAAATGCCAGGATGGTAAAAATGGAAATATGCTGTTGTAAGGTTCATATACTATACATGAAGTGGTAATAATATCACTTGAAGGTTAGACCATGGTAAGTTTAAGGTGTATACTTTAGATCTTAAAGCAAACACTAATATAACAAAATAAATGACTGTAAATTGAAATAAAAACAATGTTTATATTAGCACCAAATATGAAATACCTAGGGATAAATCTGACAAAAGACACGCAAGATCTGTTCACTGAAAACTACAAACATTCCAAAGAGAAATAAAAGACTATCTAAACAAATGGAGCAATATGTAGCATTCCTGGATTGGCATGCTCAATGCTGTTAAGAAGTCAGCTTCGCCCAAATTTCTACATACTGACATACAGATTCATGGTATTCCCGATCAAAATCCCAGAAATGTGAACATGTTTTAAAAGTTCATAGGGAAATGCAAAGGACATAGAAGAGCCAAAGCATCTTTGAAAAACAGGAACCAATTTGGTGGACTTACACTACCTAATTCCAAGATTTACAGTGCTACAGTAGTCAAGACAGTGCAGTAATAATACTGAGACTGACAAACTATTCAAAGGAAAAGAAAGGACAGCACAGGAATAAACTCAACTGTAGTCAATTGATTTTTGACAAATGTGCAAGGGCAATTCAGTGAAAGTCTTTTCAAATCAATGTGCTAGAACAACAAGATATCTATATAATATCCATGAACACTGAGGCATACCTCTCACCACATACAAAAGTTAACTCAAAATGGATGTAAAATGTAAAAGCCAAAACTGTAAATTTTCTAACAGAAAGAATAGGAGAAAATCTTTGTGATCTTTGGTTAGACAAAGATTTTTCAGCTATAACATCAAAAGCATATCCATTATGAAAAATTGGTAAAAAGAACTTCAAAGTAAGAAATTTTTTCTCTTTAAAAGATACTATTAAGAGATATGAAAAGACAATCCACATATTAGGAGAAAACATTTGCAAATCAGGTATCTGATAAACATCTTTTATCCAGAATATATAAAGGCCTCTCAAAACTCAATAAGAAGAAAATAACCTGATTACAAAATAGGCACAATATTTGAAAAGACACCTAACCAAAGGAGATATATGGATAACAAATAAGCATATGAAAATAGCATTTCTTTACATGGGCAATAGTCAGTTAGAAAATATAATAAAAAATAAGATGTAAGACACAACAGCAACAACAGTATGAAATGTTTAGAAATCAGCTTCACCAAGAATAAAAATGAGCTCTATGGATAAATGAAGAGACGCTTTATACTTATAGTTGGAACAACTAAACATTATTTAGGCAAGGATCTGGAGGCATCCCAGATTTCCATCTCTGGAGAGTGAGTAGGCAAAGAAATAAAATATGCAGTAGACTAGGTAAAACGAGATAGATGCACATCATTACACAGAATGAAGCACTCAGAAGAATCAGGTTAGATGTACTCATAGAAACACAGACAAATTTTAAACATGTAGACCTAAGTGAAAAAATAGAACAGAGTAAGTAACAAAACTATTTATGTAGCTTGACACTCAGTCCACACGTACAAAATACAATTTTTCAAGACAAACAAAGGAGGCTCTCAGATTAAATGCTGCACAACTGTAGCTCCTGAGGGAAGGACAGAGACAGGCCTATGGAAATGAAAGACAGTGAAGTCCTAAAAACTCAATTTTGCATATCAAAAATCAAAACCCGGAGGAACAAAAGGATAGCTCACCCAAAGGGAAGAAAATAGGTGGAGGAAGAGATCAGACTAGAGTTTATGTTGTGATGGTGGTGGGCAACAGAAAAAGCTCTGGAGGGAAAAAAAAAAAGTTCTGGGGAATGCTGAAAGAGTCTTGTGCTTTGATGGCCCCTGCGTGTGCAGCCCATGGAGACGGAGATGCACCCAACCTGTCTCTTTAAGTAGCAGAGAAGCCAGGGATAAGGGCTCTGTGGAGCAGAAATCCCAGAGTGAGCACCCCAGTGTATTGCTGGAGAATACTCAACAAGTTACTATATACCACTGTGGCAAGAACCCACCAAACATGATGTAAGAGAGTCAAAGGTGTCCAGAATTGAGATAAGGAGGACAGAGATTATGTGGACCTCAATGCCAAATGTCACGGCAATTCCATGGTTATGAGCAATGCATTCCAGCCCACAATGAATGGAACCACTGAGAAATGGAAAAGCAAAGCATAGTTACACTGAAAGTTTTTGAAAGAATGAGCAGAAATGTATTGGACAAAGAGGAAAGACAAGCAGCAGTTGTATTAGTGATAAAACAGGATTTAAAGGAATAAAGAGAGAGTAATATAAAAATATTATATTTATACTGGTAAAATGTACATTCTGTAATAAGGCTGTAATATTAGTGAGTCTCTTTAAAAAGTGAACTCGTGGAGGACAGAGATTCTCACCAAGGCCAAACACAGTGACAAGTGCATAGCAGTCATTAAAAAAAGACTTATTAAATAACTTCTAGTGATCTACAGTAGTGCTGGGCATCTATAATTGACAATAATTTATTGTATGGGAGGTTTCAGTAATGGGCTACAATAATCAACCACATTGTATATTGACAAAATAAAATAAATAAATAAATAAATAACTTACTGTATGTTCTCAAATGACTAGAGGAGAGCAAATGTTTTCATCACAAAGAAACGATAAATTTTCATGATCATTAATATGCTGATCATCCTATTTGATCATCATACATCATCTACATAGATTGAGATATAACTCTGTACCGCATAAATATCTATAATCAACATGTGTCAATTAAAAAATACATAAATTAAAAAGAGATAACCTATGAATATAGTCTGTGGTTTCTGAAAGAAAATAAAGACAGAGAGAGCTCATATTCCACCTAAAATGCCTTTGTTTAAGATACCCAGATGTGACACTGAAGGCTATCTAGAAAGAAAAATGAGTAGTGATTTGATGCATAGTAAGTAGAAGAAGAAAATAATACTTGTTAAGATGTCACTCCTCTGGAGAAAAATCTTGAAAATAAAAAGCCGTAATTTGAACATAAGGACAAACTGATTTATTTCAGGTGAAACTGAAGAAATTTTACAAAGGAGCATAATGAGCTAAAAGATTTGGTTTAGTGATAACTAAAGCTATGTTTTAAAATGTTTCTACCATTATTACATAATTTGTTATTAATCAGTACACAAATTAAAATGAAAAATATTCATGCAGTTCTAAACGATTTAAATTATTATACAGAAATAACACAATATTAATTCACTAGGAAAAGAAATTTGGCTTGATGCCATTCTTTTTATCATTGCACAACAGAAGAAAGCCCTCTTATCCTTCTGGGTTATCAAGGACAACTCTGGAATGTGATAGCTCGTTTTTGTGTTCTGGAATCCTATCAATGCTAATTTGATTTTGCAATACTTTTCCCATTTCTACAGGACACCTAAGTGAAAATTACAGTAAACTAAAATAAAGTTTCCTTTGAGAAGTTTTGGAGAATCTTCTCATCTGCTCTTGAGATTCCCAGAAATACCCCAATGTGTGGCAAATATATGACTGGAAACCACATATACAATTTGCTCCATATTTGTATGAAAAATTAGATAACTGATTCTATGACTACTAATATGAACTATTTTTATTTAATTAGGAGTCAGTTAATGATGTAAACTATAATACTGAACAAATTTGCCTCAGATAGCTTTATATCTTATTAAGGTTATTAATTGATAATCAAATTATTTTTTAACAAAACTTACAAAGCTGAGCATCTGCATGGAAAGTTCCTCCTTTAGGGTTCAGCTTCTGGGTTTGAATTGCAGGAACTGGCTTATATGATTGACCTGTGGCCCTGTACATGGCTTGAACCCATAATATTCTGTCCTGTTCATCATCACTGGCAAATATTACAGTGTCTCCTTCTTTAACAGCATTAAAGAACATATGACCACCCTGAAGGCCTGTGGAGGAAGAAAGACATTGTTAAAAATTTACGCAGTTGATAGATTTTAGTCTCATTCATTAACTGGCCTCATAGAAAAGAATGAATTTGATATTAGCAGCTAAATGCTTTAAATTATTTTTTTGCTGAGCATCAAATCCACAATTCAAAATTTTAAGAGAAACAATAACCAAAAGTTTTGCTTAAATTGAAAGTTTAAAGTAACTCAGGGAAACAAAGAGTTCATAACACAGTATTCTGGCAAGACATACAAACATACCCCACAGAAATGCATAGCATAATCTGATATTTCATGCCAGAGAAGGAAGTCTTACCTATTGGCATATTCACCAACAGGAGAAATACATGACGAGTTTAGCCAAAAAACAAATACAGCTAAGACAATAATGGCACCTCATACTGTATGATATTTTAACTTTTGCAAAATTCTTTCACAGAAAAGATATTTTTAAGCCACCAATTAGTGAATATTAGTGAAGATGATATTTTTAAGTGACCCATTAGTGAATATGGTCACATTTCTATTTCTTAATCTCTGTACATTAATTTCTTAATCTCTATGCTTCTTAATATTGCTATATTAATTTCATTAATATCCATATATTAATTCAATCTCTATTTTTTGATACAAAGTCTTGTATTATACACTCAGTATTAATATGAAGAAAAGAGAGAGAAGTTGAAGAATGTGTTGGTTGGGAGAAAATACAATATAATATATAATTATTCATTTGCCATTCATTTCCCTATTTTTGGTATAATTTCTGCTTTCTAGTAAAAAAGTTTCAGTAAGCATTGATATTTCTCATACAATTTTTCTATTATAGCAACTTTTACATATTTCATCCTTGTACTATGACAGTTATGATGAATTATGACTAAAAATAATAGCCCTCAAAAAGACATAATTTGAATCTCATAAAGTCTTGCCCAGTTATATATGTGAAATATGCACCCTCTTCATAGAGTGGAGTTTGAAATGTAAAAAAGACAGGGTATTTATAAAAAATTCATGCACACATGCATGGCAGGCAATGTGATTCAACTTAGAATTACCTGGGTGAGGATCTGTATAATCCACGGTGTACCCCTCAAGCTGCATTAATTCTTGTGGTTCAGACTTTTTTTCTCTATAACTGCACATAGCAAAGGTGTACTGGCTAACCTGCTTGAGAAAAAAAAAAATTTGCAGATCAGTCACATTAAAGTTATATTTTATTTATTTATTTTTAATTTTATTTTTAATTGACACATAATGATTAACATATTTTTAGAGTACAGAGTAAAAATACATGTATATACTGTGATGATCAGATCAGGCTAATTAGCATATCCATCACTGCAAACATTTACCACTCCTTTGTGATGACAGCATTTGAATTCCTCTCTTCTAGCCATTTAAAAATATACAGTGTTAATTACAGGCACGTAGCACTGCTGTTGATTAGAGACACCTAGTGTAGAATACTAGAACTTACAAAAGTACTTCAAAAAGTTTGTGGAAAAATAGTATTAGAAGATAACATAAATCTTTCCATGAACTTTTTGAAGTATTCTGTATTCTTCCTGTGTAGCTGTAATTCTGTATGCATTAACCAACCTCTCCCTAAGCTTCCCAGTCTCCAATAGTAACCAAAATTCTACTCTGTACTTCCACAAGTTTTTTTTTTTTTTTTAGCTCCCACATATGAGTGAGAACATGTGATATTTATTTGTCTCTGCCTTATTTCACTTAACTTAATGTCTTCTAGCTCATTCATATTGACTCAAATTAAATGACTTCATTCTTTATGACTAGGTAGTATTCCATCGTGCGTATCCGCCACATTTTCTTTACCATTCATCTGTTGATAGACAGTTTGATTCCAAGGTTTAACTATTGTAAATAATGCTGCAGTAAACATGGTGGTGCAGGTATCTCTTTGGTATGCTGATTTCCTTTCCTTTGGATAAATGCACAATAGTGGGATTACTGGATCATATGATAGTTCTATTTTTAGTTTTCTGAAGAACCTCCATACTCTTTTCCATTATGGCTGTACTAATTTACATTTTCCCACCAACAGTGTATAAGAGTTCCCTTTTCTCTGCATCCTCACCAGCATTTGTTTTTTTGTCTTTTTGATAACAGTCATTCTAACTGGCATGAGATAATTCTTCATTGTGGTTTTTGGTTTGCATTTCCCTGATTAGTGATGCTGAACATTTTTTCATATACCTTTTGGCTATATATACGTCTTCTTTTGAGAAATGTCTATTCAGGTAATTTGTCATTTTTAATTGGATTATTTTTCGGGTTTCTTTGTTTGTTTGTTTTGCTGTTGAGTTGAGTTCCTTGTATATTCTGGATATACAACCTCTGTCAGATAAAGAGTCAGCAAATATTTTCCCCCATTCTGCAGGTTGTCTTTTTACTCCGTTGGTTGTTTGCTGTGCAGAAGCTTTTTAGCTTGATGCTGCATTTGTCTATTTTTGCTTTTGTTGCCTGTGCTTTAGAAGTCTTCTCCATATAATTATAAGATTCTTTTTCCAAATTTTAACACAATTTGCATAAAAATTATTAAATTATAGCATTTTTCAAAACCTAGCTCAGAGATCAAAGCACTTTTCATTTAACCTTGCGGTTAGGTCTTCCATGATCCAGCATTTCCCAAGTCAATGATTCACTGGTCAAGCTTCTATGAAATATTCATAGAAGCACCATAAATAAGTATTCATGTTGAAAATAAGTTTGGAGTCAGTAGGTTAAATAAAGACAAATATGTTCCTTTTGTTTCAGGGTTTCTTATGGCCTTTATAATATGCTAATGTAGATTGTGAATCTCTAAGAGTGAGACATATGAGGGTACTTCAAAAAGTTCACGGAAAATGGAATTTTAAAAGAGAACATGAATTCTTCCATGAACTTTTAAAAGCACCCTCGTATAAGGAGTATTCCCAAACTTATATAACTACAGGACCACATTTTCAAGCATACTTATTTCAAGACTTTTAGCCAAAGTAAATAAAGATCACAGTAAAAGCTGGGAATGTATTACCCATATAACCAACCCACAGGAAGGGAGGGCCAGGGTGGAGGTTTTAGGCAGCCAGTGACGACACCTCCAAGATCTGCTCTGCCTCTCAATTCTTCTTCTCTTTGGCCTTGGCTTCATTTACTTGTGCTGAAGTCTCACTTGCTAGAACCATGGATACTAACAGCTCTACAGTCACCTCCCTGATTGTGCCAGCTTGGGTCTAAAGGCCATATTTGGACCAAATACTGTGGCCAAGGGAAGAAAGTACCATCATCTCAGTTTGGGTCAAGAGCTTACATATACAGCAAAGAATGTTGAGTGCTACAATAGGCAGGCTCTTAGAAGCTCCCACAAAATAGATACAGGGAGTTGCTGTTCCCAGCAGGAGAAAAGGATGTTTGGTGAGTTAATAGATGTCTAAATTACAAAATGTCCTACAACACAAAATTCCATGGAAAAGAGGATGGTTAATGTGAATCATTTTCCTTTTCCATTTTTAAACATGAAATGAAACTAAGAAAACGTAAGAACACCTTATAGTAGCAAATGATAACTTCAAGAGGATCACAAAAGGAGCTAATTATGAAAAAAAAAAAGATACATGGACTACATCAAAATTTAAAAATTATCTTCATTAAAGGGCACCATGAAGAAAATAAAAAAGGTAAAGCCACTAAGAGTAGATGTATACAAAACATATATTCAACAAAGAACTCACATCAAAAATATAAAAAACAATAATTCAAAGAGGAAAACCCAGAACACACAGTGGAAAAATGGGGAAAGGATGGCTGCTCTTTTATTTTTGCATTTATTTTTCACACCTACTCTCTGTACCTTGGGCCAGAAAAGAAGTTTGAGGTAGTGACCATGTATAAGGTGTGGAGATCAACACTGTTATTTTTAAGATGAAGAAATGGATTTTCTGTTTCAAGAAGGGTGGAGCTGACTCTGCTCTCCTACAAAATAAAAGGCACAGATTTTTGTGAAAATTACTATGTTAGAGCCTACTGAACTGCACAACAGATTTTAGATTTAAAACTTAAAATTAACATGACTATAACACACCATTAGAAACAATACTGATTAGATTGGCGAAAATGAAAATGGTTGCTAAAATACAGTGTTGGTGACCATGAGGAGAAATGCACATTCTTGCGGGCTTGCTGTGGGAATGAAAACCAGTGCAGACTTTCTAGAATGCTGTCTGGCAAAGGTACTGTGATATACTTGTGTTTTGTGTGTTCACTTGGCTAGGCTATAGTGCCCAGTTATTTAGTCAAACACCAACATAGGTGCTGCTGTAAAAGTATTTTGTAAACAGGGTTGACATGTACAATCAGTTGACTTTACAAAAGATTATCCTCCGTATGTATGTGGGTCTCATACCAGCAGTAGAAGGCCTTAAGAGCAAAAACTGAGGTTTCCTGGAAAAGAAATTTTGGTTCAAGTCTACATCAACTCCCACCTCAGTTTCCAGCCTGCTGGCCTCTGTGGAGAACTCTGATACAGCACCAAAAGCTTTACTATTTATTTACATTCCTTAGATCCAGCTAATCTCCTCCTAAGAACATATCCCAAGGAAACAAATGGACAGGTACTCAAAGATGTATGTGAAATGTGATTACTACAGTGCTGCATGTAAGAAAAAAAACTGGAAAAACAAACAGGTGATTTGGTTAAAATACATTATGGCATGACTATGCTGTATAATACTATGAGCCATTAAAAGAGATGTGACAGTTTTTTATAACATGGAACTATTTTTAAAATATAGCATATAATGAGAAGGTTAAAAACAAAAATGTAGGGCCGGCCCAGTGGCGCACTGGATAGTGCGCCGCTTGGGAAGCGCGGCAGCGCTCCCGCCCGAGGGTTCGGATCCCACATACAGACCGGTTCCCGCTCACTGGCTGAGCGAGGCGCGGGAGCAACACCGAGGGTTGCGGTCCCGTTGCCGGTCCCGGTCCGGTGCGGGGGCGACACTGAGGGTTGCGATCCATTGCCAGACATGGAAAAAGACAAAAAAAAAACCCAAAAAACAAAAATGTAGACTGTTCTTTCATGGGTAAACATCAGAAATATATATAATAAAAGGATATATATCAAAATATTTACAGTGCCTATTATTGGGTGGTGAAATTATAGGTTACTTTAAATTATTTTCTCAGTGTTCTTTGAGGTTTTTTTTTTTTTTAAAGACATGAATTACTTTTCAATGAGAAAAAAATAAATCTACTTCCATTTTGAAAAATAAAAACATTCAGCCTTGGCTAATATCCAAAAGACTGAGAATGATAAATGTTGGCGAGGTTGCAAAGAAAAAGGAACCCTCTTACACTGTTGGTGGGACTGCAAAATGGTGCAGCCTTTATGGAAAACGGTTTGGAGCTTCCTCAAACAATTTCAGATAGATCTACCATATGACCCAGCTATTCCACTGCTGGGAATATACCTAGAGGAATTGAAGTCATCATGTCAAAGGGATACCTGTACTCCAATGTTTATTTTGCAGCACCATTTACAATAGCCAAGAGTTGGAACCAGCCCAAATGTCCATCATCAGATGAGTGGATATGGAAAATGTGGTACATCCCCACAATGGAATTCTACCCTGCTATAAAAAAGAATGAAATATACCATTCACGACAACATGGATGGACTTAACAAACAAACAAACAAAAAAACCCCATTCAGCCTTACTGGAGAAGAGTGAGGCAAATATCTTGTGAAACTTTTAGTTCTTGCTACACTTGTCTTCCTTTCCTTTCTTTTTCCTCATCTTACAGACTGTCAGTGAAATTACTTTTCCCCCTAGCTATGTCTAAGGCTTAAGAAATGAAAGCCAATGGCTCCCATAAGATGTTTGTTATGATCACCTGAAGAAAGTTTCAGTCTCCTTGTGTAAAAAGGTATGATTGTGTGTGTTTGGGGAAGGGAGTACGGAGTGGAGATGGGAGTGGTGGGTACTAAACAATAACAGTACACTTCTGTTATATGTTTTAAAAAGAAGCCCAGTCTCTTACTTAAGGACAACAACTTAGTCCAAAGTCCCACTATTCTTCCATAAAGCTACTTAACACAATGTTACCTTAATTAAAAATATTATGAAATATTTCAAACATAAAAAGTATAATAATATACTGAC